GGACTCCGCTGTGACATCACCTCTGCCCCCACAAGACACAGACCTCCAATCAGGCCCAGAGCCTGTGGCTATAACCACACTTGTGCTCCAGCAGGCTGAAGATGCCCTCACCTTACCCCAGGACTCCGCTGTGGCTGTAACCACACTTGTGCCCCAGCAGGCTGAAGATGCCCTCACTTTAACCCAGGACTCTGCTGTGGCTGCAGCCACGCTTGTGCCGCAGCAGGCTGAAGACGGCCTCACATTACCCCAGGACTCTGCTATGACAGCACCTTTGCCTCTACAAGACACAGGCCCCACCTCAGTTCCAGAGTCTCTGGCTGTGGCCACCCCTCAGACCTTGCAGGCAGAAGCAGACTGCACCCCAGGGACAGAGTCCGTGGCCTCCATGGCTCAGCAGGAAGCAGGTGCAGCCTTAGGTCCCAGGCCAGCACCTGAGAACATAGCCCTCCCTAGAGTCCCAGAGCCTGCAGCCTTGGACCAGGTCCAACAGGATGACCCACAGCCAGCTGCAGAAGCTGGGACACCTTGGGGCGCACTGGAAGATGTGGGTCCCACCTTGGGCCTGGAGGCCCCCCATCTCCCTGAGCCTGCCTCTGGTATGGGGGAGGAAGTAGCAGAAGCCCTTCCTATGCCCAAACGGCAAGCATGTCTGGGAGCCCGAGTGCACACAGGTGATGGGGACTTGCCCCCAAAGGAGACCCTGGAGGCTGAGAACCAGCAGGGAGGAGGCCTCAAGCCACCGGCTCGGGCATGTGGACCTGGGTCAGCCCTGGGAGGTGCAGGGGAGGTCCCCGAGGCTCCTCCTGCTGCCTGCCCTGAGGTCAGCCAGGCCCGGCTCCTGAGCCCAGCCAGGGAGGGAAGAGGCCCGAGTGGCAAGTTCACCCTGGAGCCCAGACTTCCCTCAGCTGTGGCCACAGAAGCCTGTCTGGACTCCTGCCCAGAGTCTTCAGTAGGGGCTGTGTGCAGGCTGGACGGAAGCTGCCCTGAAATGCCTGCCCCCACATCTGCACCAACCTCCCAGCAGCCGGAGCCTGTGCTGGGCCTGGGCAGTGTTGAGCAATCCCAGGAAGCACCTATTGTCCTTGGCCCCCACTTGCTGCAGCCCCCAGAAAACCTTGCAAAGGGTCTGCCCAGCTTACCCCTGGACAGGCTCCTGGGCCCTGACCCTTCTGTTCCTGGTGTCCTTGCTGAGGCAGCCCTACCCCCACTGGACCCCCCAGCCCCCTGCCTGTGCCAGGACCCCCAGGAAGACTCCGTGGAAGACAAGGAGCCCCCAGGCTCTCTGGGCCTCCCACCGCCCCAGGCAGGAGCCCAGCCTGCCACTGTTGCTGTCTCAGGAACCACACAGCCTCTGGGGATTGAGCTGGGAGTCAGCCTCTCGCCTCACTCCCCACTCCTCAGCCCCAAGGTGGCCCCCACGGATGCCAAAGACCTGGCCTTGCAGATCTCGCTCCCTTGCCAAGTGCCTCCTCGCTCTGGGCCCCAGAGCCCAGCTGGCCCTCAAGGGCTCTCAGCCCCCGAGCAGCAAGAGGACGAGGACAGCCTGGAGGAAGGTAAGAGGGAGGGTGGGAGTTAAGTGCCCTGGGGCTTGGGTCAACTGGACTCCTCCTCACAGCTGTCCTGTCCTGGAGGGCCTCTGAAGTGGTGGGGTGGTGGGCCCAAAACCCATGCATGGCCATCATGGAGAGCTGGCCAGGGTCCTAACCCCCTGACCCCCAACTAGAAACAAGAGGCATCCTCACACCTCTCCCCTTCCCCAGACTCACCTCGGGTCCCGGGCTCAAACCAGCATTCGGATAGCCACGGGGAGTCGTCAGCCGAGCTGGATGAGCAGGACATCTTGGCTCCTCAAACTGCACAGTGTCCAGCCCAGGTGCCTAGTCCAGGGAAGAGGGTGGGCCTCTGGGAGGGCCCCACACTCCACTCATGGATGCTCAGCTGTCAACTTTTCTCAGGCCCCAGCAGGCGGCAGTGAGGAGACCATCGCCAAAGCCAAGCAAAGTCGCAGCGAGAAGAAGGCCCGAAAGGTGGGCTGGTGGTTCCCCAGGGACCACCTGTGGGGGAAACGTCCTTACCAAGACCCTCACACTCCATGGCTAATGAAATCCCATCCATCAGGGGGCCTCTGGGTCAATGCCCATGACCCATACACCTTCCCCTAAACAGCTGAGGCTGGGATGTCATGAGGGCCCTTACAGACTGAGGCTCATGGGGAGGGACCAACCACCAGCCCAAGGTCTCAGGGAAGTTGGCGGTGGAGACTTTGCCTTCCTTCGCACTGTGCTGCTCTCCTCCCCCGACATGGGCTAACACCAGGTCTGAGCCCCGCTCTGCCCTCTACTCCAGGCGATGTCAAAGCTGGGCTTGCGGCAGATTCAGGGAGTCACCAGGATCACCATCCAGAAGTCCAAGAACATTCTCTTTGTCATCGCTAAGCCTGACGTCTTCAAGAGCCCAGCCTCAGACACTTACGTGGTCTTTGGCGAGGCCAAGGTTTGTGGTGGAGGCTGTGGTGGAATGGGGGGTCCGAGGGACAAGGATGGTGTAGGCTCTACTGACACAGCTGTCTTCCATGTTGCAGATTGAGGACCTGTCCCAGCAAGTGCACAAGGCTGCAGCTGAGAAGTTCAAGGTGCCCTCAGAGCCCTCGGCCTTGATCCCTGAGTCAGCACCCAGGCCCCGGGTGAGGCTGGAGTGCAAGGAAGAGGAAGATGAGGAGGAAGAGGTGAGGTGCAGGGGCTACAGGACCTTGCAAGGGGGTGGTGAGATGCACTATATGGGGGCTCTGCCCCAGGGACCGCAAACAGCTCCAGCCACTTCCCTGCTCCCTCAACCCCAGGTGGACGAGGCGGGGCTGGAACTGCGTGACATTGAGCTGGTGATGGCGCAGGCCAATGTGTCCAGGGCCAAGGCCGTGCGGGCTCTGAGAGACAACCACAGTGACATTGTCAACGCCATCATGGTGAGCAAGCACTGGCCCCTTTCCCTGCCCCTGAGCTGTCCCCGAGGGCCTCAGAGGAGTCTCGCTGTTGGCTCCACTAGGGGCGTGCTTCCACCAACATGACTGTCTCCTTCTGCAGGAACTGACCATGTAGCCACTGACCAGAAGCTGGAGCCATCCTTCGCCTTTCCTTAGCTCTGCTACTCAATAAATCGGTGTCCCTTCATTGCCCTCTGGTGTCTCCTCCTCGCCTTCCGGAGTCCCATCATCACCCCTTAGCATCTCTTCATTTCCCTCTGATGTCCCCTCACCACTCCCTGGTGTCCCCCCGATGTCCCTTCATTGCTCTGTGGTGTCCCCTCACTGCCCTCTGGTGTCCCCTCATCACTCCCTGATGTCCCCTCATTACTCCCTGGTGTGTCCCCTCATTACTCCCTGATGTCCCATCGCCCTCTGGGTGTCCCCCCATCGCCCTCTGGGTGTCCCCTTACCACCTTCTGGTGTCCCTTCATCGCCCTCTGGGTGTCTCACCTTCCTCTGGTATCCCCTCATCACTCTCTTGGTGTCCCCATTACTCCCTGGTGTCCCCTCACTCTGGGTGTCCCCTCATTGCCCTCTGGTGTCCCCATTACTCCCTGGTGTCCCCTCATTCTGGGTGTCCCCTTATTGCCCTCTGGTGTCCCCTCAACACTCTGGGTGTCCCCTCATTACCCCCCGTGTCCTCTCACTGCCCTCTGGTGTCCCCTCATTACTCCCCGGTGTCCCCTCATCACTCTGGGTGTCCCCTCATCGCCCTCTGGTGTCCCCTCATTACCCGCCCTCCTAGTGTCCCCTCACTGCCCTCTGGTTCCCCCTCATCTGCTCCATGGCCTCTGGTTCCCCCTCATCTGCTCCATGTCCTCTACTCTTTCTGCTGGCACAAACCAGTGACCACAGCATGGGGATCACATCTGGGATGGGCGCTGGAGGGGCAGGTGAGTGGTTCCTGTGATGCTCTACACAGAAAGCCCACACAAGGCCATGTTCAACCCATGGGCTGGAAGGGGGACACTGGCGCCTCCGGCACAGGGTAGGCTCTGGTGGGGGGCAGGAGCCCAGGACTGTGTGGTTCATCCTCAGCCTCTCTGTGCTTCCAGGGCACATCCATTTTCATATAAACCTAGAGACAGCATCAGTAGTAAATGGCCTGCCACCTGCCCCGGCCTGGCCTGGTCCCATGAGTATAAACAAACAGCTCTACAACAGCCCAGTACAGTGGGAAAACTCACCCATAAAACAGTGACCAGGGCCAGGCACGGTGGCTCATGCCTGTAATCCTAGCACTTGGGGAGGCTGAGGTGGGCAGATCACAAGGTCAGGAGTTCAAGACCTGCATGGCCAATATGTCTACCTGTCTCTACTAAAAATAATACAAAAATTAGCTAGGCGTGGTAGTAGGCACCTGTAGTGCCAGCTACTCAGGTGGCTGAGGCAGGAGAATGACTTGAACCCAGGAAGCGGAGGTTGCAGTGAGCTGAGATCGTGCCACTGTATTCCACCCTGGGCAACAGAGTGAGACTCCATCTCAAAAACAAACAACACTGACCAGGCCCTTTCCTGTCCAGAAGCTGTGATACTGCACAAACCCATCCACCTTATTCAAGAAGGTACCTGAATACTCCGGATCCTCTGGCTTGCCCTGGACACAATCGGGGTGTCCATGGAGCCCCAGAGGCTCTCCGTTCTCCCCCGAGCCTGAGCCAGAGAAGTCCTGGGGCCTGACATGCAGCCCCTCCACCCAGTAAGGCCAGGCCCCCAGCCTGGGCAGGAGGGAGATGTGACAGCCAACATCCTTCCCAGATGTCTGTCCCCCTGGGGGGGTCTCAGCGGTAGTGTAGCTACTCTCCAGTGGAGGGAGAGGCCCAGGACAACCTGACCCAGGTCACCTCTTCTCCCCTCCCCATATCCAAGGAAGGTTTGTGAGGGCCTAAAGGATACAGGCAAGACCAAGGCCAACAGGTCTTGGGGAGAAGAGCTCATGGGACAGGGATGGAGACAGACCCACAATGAGGACACAGGGAGGGTTGGCAGAGTTGCACTCTGGCCTCTCTGAAAACCCAGCCCCTGGGCTCCAAGGTGACGAGATCTCAGATAGCACTTGTGTTCCGTGGGGGAGTGCAGGCTGTTTGAGGAAAACACCTGCAGCACGGGGAGTGGGAGGGAGCCTTGGGCATAGCCAGTACCTCAAAATGCACAGGATGTAAAAATCAAGGTGCCCCCAACACATGCCGCACGCTACCCCACAGAAGGGCTTAGAACACTCGCTCCTGCCCCACATCCACACTGCCCAAGTCGAAATGAAGTCCTTCCTGTGGCTTAACAGCCTGCTGCCTCCTCCGCCCCAGCCCGCGGGACCAATGTGCTGAGTCCCAGGTGCTGCAGGGCAGATGGGGACCCAGGGACAGAGGCCAGAGCGGACACCCCTCCTGGCACCAATGGTTTTCACCCCACTGGATCAGAAACAAAGGCTTGGCAACCAGAGATTAAATTATTCACATTGCAGTAAACTTCTTTTTAAGGTCTCTGAGAGTTACAATAGGAACATCATGTGCAAAACTGACAGCTGTCCAAGGGCCCAGCCGACAGGACACTCTCCTTGCCAGCTCGGCCAGGCCCTCCCGAGCGGGGACAGCTGCAGGGCTCGGCTGAGCCCTGGTGGACAAGGCAAAGAGCCTTCCACCTGCACTGGGGCTCGTGTCCCTCGGCAGCTCCCTGCTCCTTCACAGTAGAGGACCTGAGCCGCCCGGGACTACCTGTGCCTGGAGCTTCTCGCTGGCCCCGAACAAGGGCTGACACGCAGGTCTGGACAGCTCCTTTCGGAAAGGCCTACGACGACTGTGCAGAAGGTTTGGGTGCCCCACCATCCGCTGCCCATCATGCTGAGTCCTGGTCCATGCTGCAGCCCAGTGCCTCGATGTCGCTGCTGATGTCCGAGATCATGCGGTCCCACTCATCCCCCTCTGAAGGTGCTGACCGGTCATCAGAGCTGCCCGTGGCCCTGTTCCCATTGGTGGTGGAACTGGACGTGGTACTCAGGGCCCGCCGGTGCCTGCCAAAGCTGTCGGTGATGATGCCACGGCCATCCTTCACGCCAATGGTCTCCAGGAAGTTCTCGAAGTGCTGGCTGTCCTTCTCAGGGATGAAGGGCCTCAGACCTGCAGACACACGACACCCAGCATGGCACCTCCAGTTCGGCTCAGCCCACTCAGCTCTTCTCCCAGGGCTCAGAGCCCTCTGACAGGGCCACAGCTGCCCCTGGTGCATGGCCTGCGGGACTCTGATGCCATGCTCCTCGCATCTGGCATCCTGGTTGAAATAGTTTCCTGGGTCCAGACGGTTTAGCTAAAACCTCCTCTGACAGGCACTGCGGCTGGCCCTGACAGCTTACTGCCTCTGCCACATGCACCCACCCTGGCCTCAAGGCACCAGCACAGGCCAAGAGCCTGTGGCCTCCTCTCATTGTCTACTAGTCCTCACAAAGTCCCCATTTTACAGTGAGGAAAGTGAGGCCCACAGCAGTCCTCAAGGCCACCTGCTGGCACACAGCAACAAGGCTGCAGTCCTCAGAGGTAGGCCTCATGCCAAAGTCCACTGTTCCCCTGCCACGGCCTGGCCCAGGGTGATTGCCGCAACTCAGAGGGCTGCCCTCTTATTTGGCAAGCCAAACTCTACTCCCCACTGTGGGTGGGCACACAGAGCCCCATGCTAGGAAGTGACGCAGGGCCCAGCACAGAAGGAGTTCCTGATCTCTGGACTGTGCTTTCATGGTCATCTCTAGTTCCAATCTCCCATCGCTGATGGAGCCCCTGTTGCACCCACTGAGGGGTCCGTGTGCACATTCCCAGGAGGGATTAGCCTCCCCAAGCCAGGTTTGGACAAGCCAGTCTCTCTCCGGGGCCCACTCACCAAGCAGCAGGAACTTGCGGCTATCCCCATAGAGCTGCCGCAGGTTGATGCAGAACTCGTGGATTGAGGCCCCATTGCGGTACTCGTGCAGCAGTGCCGCAAACTGCTGGATCTCCTGCGACGACAGCTTGGTGCGCAGCTGCAAGAGAGCAGGGCCAGGTGCAGGGTTGGGTGCAGTGGGCAAGAGTCGGCAGTCGGGCCTACGCTGCGACAGCCACCAGCTCCAGCCAGAGCACCAGCTCTGGTTTCACCTCTGCATAGGCTGAGGCATCAGAATGCCCACACTGTGTCCCCATCCTGTCAGGTCCGGCACAAGGCCACCCAGAGGAAACCAAGGCACCCAGACAGCTCCACCCTCCTGAGCTGGAACACAGAGTGCACAGGAAGGACAGGAGCCAGCAGGGCAGGGTGGAAGTTGGCAACCTGGCCTGGGGCCAATGCCCATGCCCTTAGGCTACACACAGGGAGGTCAGGAACACTGTTTTCAATGACAGAACTATATAAGATGAGAAGAATAAAAGTGCCTGGCCACGTGGCCTTGCAGGGACCACTGTTCCCTCCCCTCCCCCAGGACCGAAGCAGAAGCCCAAAGTCCAGCCCTGATGACCACAGTACCCCCAAACTCAGCCCCACTGACTCATGCTCTCCTAGACTGTCCCCGGGAAAAGGTGGCGATCTCAGCAAAACTGATCAAGAGTACCCTAGGTGACCTCACTCACTGCAGCCTGCCCTGCACTGCTGCTCCCTCTCCTCCCTTCCCCCATCCTCCCTGGGATACCCCCTCCCTCATGCAGTCCAGTGTCCCTGTGGCAGAGGCCTACTGTCAGCATGTAGTCTTGCAGCAGCTCAGTGGCGCTGGCGCTCAGCTCACTCTCACTGATGGTCTTGCTGTGGGGTGACGCGCCACCCACATCCACGGATTCAGGGAAACAGCTGGGAAGAAATGTGGTATGTGAGCGGGTAGCTTCCCCGACCCTTCCATCCCACACACGTTTCAGGAAACCTAGTCTGTGCTGTGTGTGTGGGTCCCCGTCCTCGAACAGAGGAATGTAAGTGATGACAATGAGAGGAGAGCTGGCTGGGCATGCAGGGTGGTCAGCTTGGCCTGGTCCTGGGGCTCCCTGCGGGTATGGCTCTGAGTTAGGCTCTGAATGAAGGGAGGGAGTACGTAGGTCAAGGCGGTGGGCAGCACTGTTGGGAGTGGGGAGCAACAGGCTCGGAGGGAGGAGCTGGGGTGGGGGGTAGCAGGAAAGGAGAGCGTGTGTGGGCTGAGCTACTACAGAGGC